ACTCTCTAGTGGAGCACAATAGAAAATCGCGAAAGCAACATGAAAATTTATGATGCATTTCTTTTGCTGCCCCTTCACCCCTTCAACCCTTCCCCTTTCCCATTACCCTTTTCCCTTTATTTTTTCCATAGTACAGTACTCCCTCGCTTAACTCGTTTCTGTCGCGTCTCAGGCTTTCAAATTATTGCAAACTTGAGTGAAATTTATATAATTGTAATGGAATTTATATTAGAGTTTTTTGCGCTGCTCCACTAAGGGCAACTGACAAATGGTTGGATGCAGCCCAACAACCTCCCACTCCATAGGGAATACCATTGTCAATGGCTTCATCGCCATCGCCATCGCCATCGTCTTGGTCCCGTTTTCCTTCTCGTTGTCGTTTTCCTATTTATTTTGTTTACATTTTGCTCGGCCAGATGGCAGAAAATCTGTGACACAGATTTCGTTTTATTTATTTCGATTACTTAAGCTCAAGAATCATAAAAATAGTTTTGAGTGAGCCAAGGAACGAGACGGAAGTGGAAGAAGAGAGAGAAATTAGCTGGAGCTTTAGCTCGGACAAATAAAAGAAACTGAAAGGATGTGAAAGGGCGAAAGGAAGTCTCAACTTTCAACAGCAAACTTATTTGATTGAGAGCAGTGCAAAATTGACATTTATTGTGGAGATAAAAAATAAGTAGGGAAGTGAGCTTGAAACGTCGAATTAAGATGTTGAAAGTGAGCTTAAGTGGCAGCAAATATGAATGGTCAAGAGGTAACTAAAGTCTTACGGATACGAATTATTATGTCCATCTGGAATGTGCAGTATGAAACATGTAACAGTGAATGGTAATAACATTTGAACTTAAATCTCAAAAGTGAATTGATTAGGTGAATATAAATAAGCCAGATGATTTAAATATGTTTACTATTTAATTTACATATTTAAATATCTAATTTCTTATAAAATATAACAAAAAGCGGATTACAATAGGCGAATCTCCAACCTTTTTCGCCTGCCTGCAAAATCCTCAAATATGATGAGAGTTATAGATTGACAGATAAAAAAAAACCCAGGGCAAAAAAAAAATAAAGAAATGGATACAAAAGACGTTTGGGAATCACAAGTGAGGAGTAGTCTTTCTTATGCTTTCCTTTTTTTTTTTTGTTGTCGTTGTTTGTGGATGCTGAATAATGGAGAGTGGAAAAGTGTGGAAAAATGCGAGCAAATAGTTTTCCGCTTGCCGCCGCATACAATGGAATAGGCGAGGGTGGATTAAGGGCGGCAGCGTGTTCTTTATCAATTTTATCTGTGAAATATATTTCCGAAACATTTGCCATTATATTTGCATTAGTAGCCACAGCTTCCGCTTCCCTTTGCCGCCTAACTATTAGATGTGGCCCAATCACGAGGCCTTGCCCCCTTTTTTTTGTGGTTCTTAGTAAGTGTGCATTCCTACACTAAGAAAAACCACCCCGCTAATACCGTTTTGAATGGGAAATTATTTAAAATAAATAAAAAGATCACAACCAAACAAGAAAATAGATTGCATGGTCACACTGTAGAAATGTGACCAGCTGACTTTAAAACAATCGAAAGCAATTTAGTTGTACGATCTGCTCTTTTTTTTTAAAGTTACAAATTTATATCTCGTATTAAACTTGACGTTGTTTTCGAAGTTCGTTAAAAATGTTTAATGTGTAGGTTTGTCGTGTTGGGCAGTTTGACGCCAATGAAAAGGAAAAAAAGGCAAAGCCTAAGCATCCAAAGAGCTATCCTCGCACTCCAAACCACATATATATTCTATATATGTATATATAGATGTGGTCTATTCCCTGGCGGAAACTGCTTATCACACATTTCCACACAGCCACGCAAAATCACACACACACAAACCGAAACCAAATACAACACAGGAATGCCAAAAAAAAAAAAAAAAAAAAAAATAAGAAATGTACTATAGTGGGAAAAGGGGGGAAATGGGGAGTGGGCTAGTAGAGTAATAGCATAAAGAATGATGCGTAGACATGATTTCCGTGCGGTTGATTTCGCTCTCTGTCTCCCTTTTTACCGGCACACTGCTTTCGATGCAAGGCGGAAATTGTTAAATGGAAATTTCCATAAATTTCGAACAGCATGGGGTGGCATCCCCACGGATCGGTTTCAGATGAAGAACTCGAGCTGCAAATTAGGTTATGCTTTGAGTATCTCAAAGATGCAGCTCTGCTTCTGCAGGACTTTTTTTTTAATCATGTAAAAATACACTTATTTTATAAATACTGAGCTAGAATTGACTAAAAGAATGGTTGCATGGTCACACCGCTGCAGAAGTGTGACCAACGGAACTATAAATCACTTACTTTTCTTAAAGTTACCCAAATAAACATTGCCGTATTTTAATATCGTACTTCTATTCAAGGTTCCTTTTGTATTTCAAAGAACTTCCTTCAGCTCCATATTTTGTTGGATTCTTCTACTCAGGATTCTTTTCCTCTGCGTTCCTTCTTCATTCATTTTCTTTGTTCCCCTGAGCTATTTTTTTTTTTTTGCCATTTTTCTAAGAGCTTAAGTTCCACTGTTTTTAAAGGGACTTCCTGCTGCGAAACTATGTGCTTGGGGATTTAGTTCCTGGTACCTTTTTGTGCGTTATCTGCATGATTTTGCATTCCCAGGAAGAGGAGTGCCGAGCAGCGATAGAGAATCGTGGATAGAGGGAGGAAGGGAGGCTGGGCTGCCTGAAGTAGAAGTAGCATGTAATTCATCTTATTCCCCAAAGACAACCACACCAGCGACAAAGGAGACACGGACGCTTGAGCTTACAATTCCGGTGGGTAAATTGTTCGCGCAGATGGGGATGCAGGAAAGTCCGGAGGAAAACCAAGGGAAAACCGGAGACGGGAGGCAGTTGAAGGCGTTGCTGTCGTCGCGTTTTGTGCGTGTCTCCATTGGGACATAAATGCCATTTGTGGGATGGGGCCGGTTCAGGCCAGGCACGCGCCTCATTACGTACCACCCACCTCCACCTCCACCTCCTCCTCCTTCTCCTTCTCCTTCTCCTTCTCCTCCCCCTCCAAACCCAATCCCCAATCTCCTTTTGACGCATAAAATGCGTAATGAATTTTAGATTTCATTTCAATGGCACACAGAAAGAAGTTATGGCCGTAGGCGCTCCAGGATTTGCTTTTCCTTGGACACAACGCCTCCGCTTTTCCGCCATGTCGCCCACCGGAAACATTTATTTGCCCGTTAAGTGCGTGAAGAGCAGCCGCCAAAGTGTTTAGTCCAATGGCCTGCAAATAGTTTTAGGTGATTCAGCAACTGGGTGTCGCAGAAAGTACCGAAAAAAAAAGGAATCAGGCGGACCTTAAGCGGTTAAGGGAAACTGAATGAGGACTTTTTCCTTTGAGCTTAACGAATCTCAATTGCGAAGAAAAATTATAATTAACGATAATTATTTTATTTTATTAGTCTGAATATTGATTAATTTATATAGTCTTTGTTATTTACAATTCTAAAAATCAATAGTTAAAGTCAATAGTTAATGTTAAACGAAATGAAAATATTGGGAACGAGTAAAAAATTCAGGCAAATATTTATGTATGCAAACATCATTACTATTTTATATATAATCACTTGATTTAAGCAAGATTTGTATTCCAAAAAAAAAAGCAAATTTGTCACCTCGAATTACGCCTGGGCATTGCACTTGAACTCCGGCCACGCCTTCTTTCCGCCCGGGAGGGCGTCGGAAAACGGAACTATTCAAACAGCATTGAGCATAATTTTTCATTCAGGGTCGTTGGCTGGGCTCACTTCGCATTTTGGACGCTGCGGCTTTTTATTTTATTATCTGCTGCAGAGCAGACAAAACCCCTTCCCCCCTTTCACCATGTTATTTTCGACCGCAAACATAATTTTTCTTGCTTCTCATGCCAGATAAACGCAGACAAGAAGTAAAATACACGAGACCACCAGAAAATAAAGTGGAAAAATTAGTCAAAATAGAAAAAAAGAAAAGGGGAAAAACCGAAAGCCAAGAAAATGAAAACGAAGCTGGCAAAAAGTTCTTTAACCCCACACAGCAGCCATCATATTATTTTCAACATTTATTTGCCATGCGTAAATAAAAAATAATATACATATATATATATATATATATATATATATATACATAGTAGGAGGGCGATTTTTTTGTGCGATTTTCAAAGGCAAAAGTGGTAAAGTAAAATGGAAAATGGCTTTCCCAAGCCGCCCTCCCATTTTCCACCCAGTCTACCAATAATAAATGCAAAACTGCAGCGGGCAAGGAGAATTGCATTTTAGGTAAACATAGAGCCAAGCAAAGGAGCTGCTGTGGGATTTGGGAAAGTGTGGTGGGAAAATTGGGTGGAAAACTGGGTGGAAAGCTGGATGGTGGGGCTGGAGAGCTGCGAGTTAAATGGGACGGGGGGCACTGCGGGGTTAAGGCGTGTCCTGGCTCTTGTCCAATTGACGTAAATCGTGCACAAGTTTTGGCAGCCAAAATGACTGCGGCTAAAGCTGGAGACGAGACAGCCAGAAGGAGAGGGTTAAAACATGAGAGGAAGCGAGAGAGAGAGAGAGAGAGAGAGAGAGAGAGAGAGAGAGAGAGCGAGAGAGAGAGAGAGATAGGCAGACAGTGGTAGAAAGAGAGGGAAAAAAAAGGGCAAGAGGTCAGCAAACTTGGTGGCTCACAGGCAGCCTCAACCTCAACCTCAACACAGCCATCGATTCAGATTTTTCTCAAGTTTTAACTTTAATAACGTCTTCAATTATTTCCATTGATGTGAAGTGATACAGTTCTAAAATGGGTTCTAAGAATCTTCCTTATTTTACGTCCAAGAAAATAAGGCAAGGCTTACGAATATTTAAAATTAAATTGACTATAACCTTTTAAAGGAGTCTTAACTTAAATTAGTTTAATGTTCCACCAATAACTCTATTTATTATTTATAACTTTTACAACCTTATACCACATATGGCGATGATATAAACTTCACGCTCTACTGATTTTAAAGGGAATTCCTGTTCAAGACAGATCAGAGCCAGAAACCTAATTTTGGAAAAGTTTTCTAAAGTCCACAAAATCCAATCCCCTTATTTTCCACTATGGATCAGCAGAAGACTACGGTATCGACTATCGATGCTGAAACGGAGCCGTGGACGATCGGAAAAGTCACGAAGACGACCAGAAAAGAGACCGATTCCGGATTCAGTTCGGCGGGTAGCACCGATTCCGTGCACCAAGTGCACCAAGCCACGCCCTGCCAGCTCCGCCTCCGATTGGCACAAAAGGAGCCGACGGAAAAGCGCGTCGGCTTCCACGCCGGCGTTATCGATAACGAGCACATGAATCGGCGCAAATCGAAGTGCTGCTGCATTTATCGAAAGCCGCATCCCTTCGGCGAGAGCTCGTCCTCCACGGATGACGAATGCGAACACTGTTTTGGCCATCCCGAAGTAAAAGCCCGTAATCGTCTGGAAAAGCAGCGAAGAAAAATGCAACAATCCTGCTGCTGCTGTTGCTGCGACAACCATCATCATCAGCATCAGGACAATCGGAATAATCGGCTGCCTATGGAAGGGATCGCAGGGGAAAAGGACAATAATCAGGCGGAGGAGGAACCGGAAGCGGTGATCAATGAATCAGGTGGGGAGGAGCTCAAAGAAAAGTAGGACAACCTTCAGTTATTTGTCGTCGAATTATTTCTGTAAGGCTCAAAATAACAAATCTTGTATCACTCGAAATTTAAATTTATGTCTTACTATTATCCGTGATTAACTGAAAATATATCCGAAGATGGATTATCAATTTTTTAGAATACCACCTACTATGATTTACCATAATTAAGTAACAAATTGTAATAAAATTGCCACAACACTTTCCTATTACAATTAAAGATTTTTTTTTCTTAATAAAAAAAAATGATTTTTATCAATTCTACATGTTTATCATTCTTATAATATTTGTGATCTACCAATGTTAAGTAAGGAAACAAATCTAATCTTTTTGGACCGGTTTCCAACTAAATTATTTTTTTTTTCCTCCACACTTTCAGTGTTTCTCTAGAAGTTTTCAAAGCCAAAGAAAAGCCGAAGAAAACCAGCCTAGGAAATGCTATTCCGTTCCTGTCACTCATCGGGCAGAAAACCGCAAAAAACTGTCACACGCCCCGCCCACTCAAGCAGTCACGCCTTCTTCTACATAGAGTGTGGGATGGCGGGGAGGTGTTTTCCATGTTTACGCCCCAGAATTCACTGCCTCCCAAAGAGCCACCATCGTGTGTCTATTGATTGATTATGCGAACTGTCTACGCGAACTTGTAACTAGATTAATGAACTTTTTGCCGTGGATGCAGTGCATCACAGATGCTTGTGGAAAACCCCCTTTGAAATACTACCACCCACACCCAACCTGCCACCGAGGAAAACCCTGTTGAAAGCCCCGCTCTATTTGTGATCCATCCCTGTGTTGAGTGAAGGGAAAATTTAAGTTGCCAGCGAAGCGAATGTAGAGCTCGATGAAGCGGGCGCAAAATGGAAAATGGGAAATGGAATGGCTGCTGTGCTGATGGGCTTGTGGCTGTCGCCCTGCCCTCCTAATTCCAAATGCGTTGCAACTCCTGTTTAAATTGAAATATCAGATGCAGATCCGTTAGGCTAATTTAAAAATTGAATTTTCAATTACTCATACGCCGTGTGTCTACTAAAATAGCAACGAGTTAGAAAGTTGTTAAGTGATTATCAAAGAAAACTTAAGGCAAACATAGACTATTAATTTAAAATAAAATATTTAAGTGAGTTTTAAAATAATATTTAAAATCGCCCACCTTTAATTTATAAAAAGTAGTAGTAAAAATTTTAGCTTTTGGCTAATTTAAAAAAAAACAAGAAAGAAAGCAAACTTCGGCAAGCCGAAGTTCATATACCCTTGCAGCTATATATTAAATACTTTTGAAAATATTTAAATTATGATTTACTTGAGTATATGCTGAAAAACATTGAAACTATGATGATTTGCAGCTCAATTATAAGATAGTTATTTTGTATATTTTTATTATTTCTATGGGAGCTATATGATATAGACGTCCGATTTTGATAAAATTTAAACCATAATTCTGAAATAATTAAACATTGCTATATGTCGAAGAACTAAACAAAAAATTAAAAAACAGAAAAGTTATAATTTTTTTTCATTTATTTTTCCGATTGTTCCTATGGGAGCTATATGCTATAGTCGTCCGATTTTGATGAAAATTAAAACATAATTCTGAAATACTTAACCATTACTATATCTCGAAGAACTAAACAAAAAATTAAAAAACAGCAAAATTATAATTTTTTTTCATTTATTTTTCCGATTGTTCCTATGGGAGCTATATGCTATAGTCGTCCGATTTTGATGAAATTTAAACCGTAAATCGGAAATATTTAACCATTACTAAATGTCGAAGAACTAAACAAAAAATTAAAAAACAGCAAAGTTGTAATTTTTTTTCATTTATTTTTCCGATTGTTCCTATGGGAGCTATATGCTATAGTCGTCCGATCCGGCTCGTTCCGACTTATATACTACCTGCAATAGAAAGACAACTTTTGGGAAAGTTTCATGCAGATAGCTTTAAAACTGAGAGACTAGTTTGCATATAAACGGACGGACAGACGGACAGACGGACAGACGGACAGACGGACATGGCTAGATCGACTCGCCTAGTGATGCTGATCAAGAATATATATACTTTATAGGGTCGGAGATGTCTCCTTTACTGCGTTGCAAACTTCTGACTGAAATTATAATACCCTCTGCAAGGGTATAAAAATAATTATAAACGTTTGAAATAGATTATACCTAAACATTGAAATGTTTGCATTCAAATTTTATTGATCTGCACGATTTTCGTTTACCTTTGACATTACCTCTTCTTGCCCTTACTCTAAAAATTGTCCAATTAATTTGGACAATTTCATCATATTTAATTTATATTTACATTTGCTGTTTTTATTACGCTGTTGCTGGTTGCAGTTCCACGTCTAGTTACAATTCCCTGTGTAATCCGTGGGAATTTTCTGTTGCCAAATGAAGCTGCGGCTGCAAAGGGGAGTGGTGTGGGGCCTAAGAGGGGCTGAAAAGGGGGTTATGCAATCCCAGGCACATGACATGACACAAATTTTGTGGGAAGAAAATATTAAAAAAAAAAAAAAAAAACAGAAAGAAAGCAAACTTCGGCAAGCCGAAGTTCATATACCCTTGCAGCTATTGCAAGAATTTAACATTTTTGAAAACATTAAAATTATGATTTACTGCGTATATGTTTAAAAACATTGAAGCTATGACGATTTGCAGCTTAATTATTTGATTGTTCTTTTATATATTTTTATTATTTCTATGGGAGCTATATGATTTAGACGTCCGATTTTGATAAAATCTAAACCATAATTCTGAAATATTTAACCATTGCTATATGTCGAAGAACTGAACAAAAAATTAAAAAACAAAAAAGTTATAATTTTTTTCATTTATTTTTCCGATTGTTCCTATGGGAGCTATATGCTATAGTCGTCCGATTTTGATATAATTTAAACCGTAAATCGGAAATATTTTACCATTACTAAATGTCGAAGGGCTAAACAAAAAATTAAAAAACAGAAAAGTTATAATTTTTTTCATTTATTTTTCCGATTGTTCCTATGGGAGCTATATGGTATAATCATCCGATTTTGATGAAATTTAAAACGTAAATCAGAAATATTTAACCATTACTAAACGTCGAAGAACTAAACAAAAAATTAAAAAACAGCAAAGTTATAATTTTTTTTCATTTATTTTTCCGATTGTTCCTATGGGAGCTATATGCTATAATCGTCCGATCCGGCTCGTTCCGACTTATATACTACCTGCAATAGAAAGACAACTTTTGGGAAAGTTTCATGCAGATAGCTTTAAAACTGAGAGACTAGTTTGCATATAAACGGACGGACAGACGGACAGACGGACAGACTGACAGACGGACAGACGGACATGGCTAGATCGACTCTACTAGTGATGCTGATCAAGAATATATATACTTTATAGGGTCGGAGACGTCTCCTTCACTGCGTTGCAAACTTCTGACTGAAATTATAATACCCTCTGCAAGGGTATAAAAACACGTACAAAAAAATGGAGCGAAATATTTCTGTTTTGGTTTTTGCGCTCCTTCTGCCAAACTTTGAACCCTTATGTGTGTCGTTGTGTTTCCCTATGAGTGTGTGTGTGTGTCTAGCATTAAGCCACAACTCAATATGTGCGCCAGTGTGAGTGGATATCTGTGTGAGCCAGTCGCGTTAGTCGTTTTTTATGAGGTCTCTTGGCGCTTGATTCCGCGGCCCCAAACCGCATTTGAAGTGCCTCCGCAGCAAGAGAAAAAAATATATCATATATACAATATATATGTATATATGATTTATACATATAGGGTTTGCATAACTCACACATGTGCGGCCATAGCCCCATAGCCCCATAGCTCCATACATGTATATTGCATATAGCTCTAGCCTTTTTAACTTGGTCAATGGGTCGCCGTCAACGAAGCTGAATGTTTCCTCTTTTCACATTATTTATTTTTCCTCTTTTTTTTGTGCTGCGCTCTGCTCTTTTCTCTGCCTTTTTTCAGTTTTAGGCAGGACACAGCGGAAAAGGACGAAGGATTTGTGCCAGGCAAATTATTCCTTCTCCTTCAATGATTAAGTTGATGAGGCCGCGAATGACATCAAAAAGTGGTCGCTTTGAACATGACACAGATACATCGCACAAATGGGAACAAATTATGCAGACATACATAAACAAACAAATGGAAAATCTCTTTAGACTTCTATTTGAAATAGATTTTTTATTGAATAACTTTGATGTACTGAGGTTTTTCTTAGATTTAGTTTTAGTTTTTAGTTTAATCATTCATTTGTCATTTAAAAACAAAATATTATAAGATTTCTAATAAAAAATCAAGATATTATTCCCCTGCCAAGAACAACAAGATAATGACTTAAACTCTGCTCTGATTTAAATTTACTAATTGCCATTTAAATTAATCTGGCCCCGAAGCCAGCTCAAAGGTCGGAAAATGGGGCAAAATGATGGCCAACACCTTGTCTCTGTTGGCCATAATCCCCAAATAGCTTTGAGGTTAGCAATAAACAATTTGCAAGCAATTCCACAGAAATATTGTGGTCAAATGCTGGAGAATGTAGGAAATGTGCCACAAGCCAAAGGGACCGAAAACTCAAAAGACTCGAAAAATGAACCACAATTAAATGGGATGGAGGTGTTTTTTTTTTTTTTTTTTTTTTTTTTTTTGGGAATATAATATCTGTTTTGGGGCTCTCTTCCCCACCACCCGCATTTTCCACCGCTTTTCCTTGACCAGATACAAATAATGAGGCAGACCACAACAATTACAGCAAACAAACAAACAGAGCGTAGCAAAATATATATATCTGGAAAAAATAAAAAAAGCAATTGGGGCAAAGGAAAGCTGGCAAAACAGGGAAAACAGGGAAAACGCTTTATGCTCGAGTGTATGAGTGTGTGTGTGTGTTTGTGCCAAAGTGAATAATTTCTTTTTAATTTCCACTTAAGTGACTTTTAAATGCTTCACACACAAAAACGAAGAGAAAACTCGGCGTGGGGGGCGGTAAAAGCAAAGAAGTCAAGGTGGGTGTGCCGAAATGTGAGAGAAGAGCGGAAAAAGGGGAAAAGCGGGAAATCCAGCCAGACGACACGTCACTTTGACGCCCTCTGGTGTTGAAAATTGGCAGGCAAAAGAGATGCTCCGGAAGGGGCTGGATAAGTGGGCGTGGGCGTGGCAGGTGTTGAATTGCGGCTGACCCTCTACTTGGTTTCACCCCAAGTCACATCTCCTACTGGGATTTTCTCCTGCTTTACATAATTTTTCTTATGTTTTTCTTAAACTTAATTTTCATTAATATAATTATTTTCCCGCACCCAATAATTTTTCTAATCTTTTCTTTTTAGTTGTATTGATTATCATCCTCAAGTCTTTTCGGATTTATAATATCATATTAAAGAAGATTGACATCTCAATTAACTCATTTATTTCTCAATTTTTCCACATCTGTATTTTGCTTTTCAAATCAAATAATTTTATTTTCGTTGCCACCACATTAAAATTCTTGTTTAAATACAATTAAAACCTATAATCTTAAACATATTCCTTGGCTTTGTCTCTGACATATTAACAGATGTATTTCATTCAAAGCTCTTCATCGTATAATTTGTCCACCTCATGTTTCCCATATTTACGGTACCCTCTTATTTCTCCATTCCATTTATGTAATTGACTTCATTGCCAACAATCGATTCAAGTACAAAAGCAGTCTTCCTTCTTTGTCCCCATCACTTGGGCTTCCTTTTATTTTTTTTTTTTTTTGTGCCCCTTGTTATTTATGGCTCACAATTTGAAGGCTTTTGAGCAATTTTTGAGTATCGAAATGAATCCCACTTGAGAACACAAAAAAAAATCGTGAATGTGATATGCAAATGGGGTCGAAAGTGGTGGCGATCAAGGGGGGGAAACATTGACAGCTGAGTCAGCGGCAAAAACAACAAATGAAAA